ATAACATAACTTTAGTACAATATGGATAAATAACATCAAAGATAGGTAGAGTGGCAGGTAGTGTTGAGAAGCAGAGAGGCTGTAGAAGGACCTGGACATCTAGGAGATTTGGCAAAGTGATAAATTGAGTACAGTTTGGGAAAGTGCGAGGTTATGCACTTTGGTGGAAAGAAAAGAGGTGTAGACTATTTCCTAAATGGGGAAAGGCTTCAGAAGTCTGAAGCACAAAGGGACTTAGGAGTCCTAGTTCAGGATTCTCTCAAGTTTAACGTACAGGTTCAGTTGGCAGTCAGGAAGGCAAATACAATGTTAGCATTCATTTCAAGAGGGCTAGAATACAAGAGTAGAGATCTACTGCTGAGGCTGTATCAGGCTCTGGTCAAACCACGTTTGGAATATTGTGAGCAGTTTTGAGCCCCGTATCTAAGGAAAGATGTGCTGGCATTGGAGAAGGTCCAGAGGAGGTTTACAAGAATGATCTTGAGGATGAAGGGCTTGTCATGTGAGGAGTTGAGGATGCTGTGTCTGTACTTGATGGAGTTTAGAAGGAAGAGGGGTAATCTGATTGAAGCTGACAGAATACCGAGAGGCCTGGGTAAAGTGGATGTGAAGAAGGTGTTTCCACAAATAGATGAGTCTAGGACCTGAGGGCACAGCCTCAGAGTGAAGGTACAACCCTTTAGAATTGAAATAAGGTGAAATTTCTTCAGCCAGAGGAGTGGTTAATCTATGGAACTCATTGCCACAGAAGGCTGTGAAGGCTAAATTGTTGAGTGTATTTAAGACAGGAATAGGTCCTTGATCTGTAAACGGATCAAATGTTATGGGGAGAAGGCAAGAGAATGGGCTTAAAAAGCATAACAGCTGTGATGGAAATGCAGAGCAGTCTTGATGGGCCAAATAGTCTAATTCTGCTCCTGTATCCTAAGGTCTTGTGGAACAAGACAATCTACTTAATGTCAATGATCCAAGCCCAGTCTTCTTTAACCAGAGCTCCTACCCACACACTGACAGACAGACATAATTTAAAGGATAAATGAATAGAAATAAATAAAGAATTGTCATTTGCCAGTTCAGCAGTCTCATAATGAGTACCCAGGCCTTCAGAAATCCATGGTTAATGGAATTTTTGACAGGCAGTTAATCTGTAGGTCTTGCTTGAATTCCAAAGTCACTGATTCATGCAAATAGGACCATTAACTTGTAGAATTATTCATCCATTTCTTAGAGAGGGGTATTTTCTTATCAGAACAACCAACAAATCGGCAATGCGTGAAAACAAAGAAAGAGAGAGCAAGAAAGCAGCATCATTGTCCAGAAGCTTTAAAACCCCAGTCAGAACTGGTTCACTTTTTTCGTCCTCGCTTTTACTAATATTCTCTGTGATTGGCTGGCCAGCACCAATCTGCCCCTGATTGATTAATTCAACATCCAACCTATTGCCAGTCATGATCTTAGAAGATCTTGGTGCCAAAATGTTGGTAGTGTTCTTAGGATAATAATTAACCTGCAGTTATCTTTCCAGGCCAGTTCCCAAAAGGAAACATAAGTTTGATTGCTGTCTTTTCCTTCCCAAAACAGGTTAATGCTCAAAGTTCAATTCTCAATTTTAGCTCTCCAAACCAAAAATTAGAAAAATAGAAATAAAATAATGAAAGTCCGAACAGAAACCATGAGCGGATGTAAAAGCTATCCTTGAGTAAACACAGGCACCTGTCTGGGTTGTTACCTCCAACTCCCTTATCTCTTCAGTTGTAGAGTGAAGAAGGAAACATCTTTATGGTCACAGAAGGAGGCAATGACCTAGTGGTATTATCACTGAGCTATTAATCGGAAAGCCCAGGTAATGTTCTGGGGACGCGGGTTCAAATTCCATCATTTGGCTGAATCTGAATTCAATAAAAATCTGGAACTAAGATTCTAATGAAGGCCATGAAACCATTGTCACTTGTCAGGAAAAACCCGTCTGGCTCACTAACATCCTTTAGGGAAGGAAACTGCAATCCTTGCCTGGTCTGGCCTCCATGTCATGGCCTTCAGACCCACAGCAATGTGGTTGATCTTTAATTGCCCTCTGAGAAAGTGGGGATGGGTAATAAATGCTGGCCTACCCACATCCCATGAATGAATTTAACAAAGGAACAATGAACTCCAATAGCTCATAGCTCCAGCATACTTTTTGAAATTATCTGCACATCTGCAAAATAATCTGTGGATCTTTCCACCCTGCCTTCCTGTACTCTTAATTACAATGCCGTTCATCGGTCAGGATATCAATTTCTTCTTCTTTGCCCATCCCAACACATGAGCCAAACCCAGCACATTAATAGGAACTAAGTGAAATCACATTTACATGATTCAAAGTGATTAATATTAGAATAAATGATGCATTGACTTACATAGCTTTTCTGTGTGTTGGTTTCTGTCTGTGTAGTTGTTTCCAGTACTCTGATTTCTAGATGATGATGAAATGCCAGCTATGGCCCAATAATCATTTCCAAGCCTGTCCATGTTGTCAGTGATCACTTGGGTGATAGACCTCTAAATGATTGCCTGTGCTTGCTATTCAATTAATGATAGAAGATGGGTTCCAAAGCCTGACGCTGCAGTCCAAGAATCTACAGTTCTTGAAATTGGCAACACTCTGAGAAAAGTAAGTTGCGCTGAGACAGAAAGACTATCACGATGGCACCTCAAAATGAAGTGCCTTTGGTTGCTTCGAGGGAAGTCAGCAAATAGAGGAGGCCTGAAGTAAGTCATCAGGCTGGGCTTAAACTCCTTCACAGGATTGGTTTCAGAAGCATCTGTGGGATTTCATCTCTGTCATCTTGTCACTGTGGAATAGCACCTCTAACTCTGAGGTCTCCCTGACCCACTAACAGATGTCACCTCGAATGAATTACTGGGCTTTGCAATCTGGGAGGAGGTGATGGATGGACGATAGTAGATAGAGGGATAGAGGAGTGGTGGATGCTGAGACAGCAAGAAAATACTGGACATTGCAAAAGTCAGACATTGTTTGGCTCAGTGGACTGCAGGCAGCTGATCCAGTTCCAAATGGACTGATAGGAAACTTCCCTGAGGTAGGAATGATTGGGAAATTTCCTGGTCCAGTTGCTTCTTCTGCCTCCATTCTTTTTCCATAGTGTCCAGAGAATTCAGTCCTCTGTTTTTATGCAGCTGTGCTCTGTGACTTCATCTCTCAAGGAGGCATACAAGCTGAATATATTTAACTTAATTCAATGTAAGGTAGATGAATTAATTACACTGAAAGCTAGAAAGCCAACTGATAAAATATGTGACCTTACATCTTTTGACATCGTTAATTCTATAAAATATCATAAAATAACTTCTCAATTAATTAATGAAATATGGATGATATTGTTGAAATGCATTAGAGAACAAGTAGCATTAAAGGCTTCCTGGTTTTTCAAATTGATGGTCATAAGAGTTAAGTTAAAATATGCCAGTGAACTTCCTGTTATAATACATCTGCACAAGGAAGGAGCTGATTTCACCATCCTTGTCAGCAGGTTTGCTTACAAAGTCAGGACTGGATCTGAGAGCATGGAGTGCAGTCAGTTCAGAAAGAGATAAGTGAAGGGAGCAGAAAAGTAATGGTGACCAATATCAAGTTGACCGTTTTCGATGAACAGGTAAAAGGCCAGAGAGATGGATTCAAGTGGAGGGAGAAGGTTGGAAACAGGTGAAAAGGAACCTGCCAACAAGGGTATTGCTGTTGTTGTCTGGCATACTGACCTCTAAACTGTAGAAGTTGAGCGTCAGCTCTTGGACACCTCCTCTTAAGTCCCCTGGACCATGATGTCGCCATTGAACATCAGGCTATTGTGTCCACACTCTCACTAACCTCATGGCATCCGGAGACCTCCCTGCCCTCCCCCACCTGCTTCCCTCTCAGCCTACCAACTCAAAGTCCCCCAACTCCATTCAGCCTACTTCTATCTTCTTCCCAAAATTCACAAACAGGACTGCTTAGGCAGACCCATTGGTTCTGCCTGTTCCTCCTCCACAGAGTTTATTCCTTCCAACCTTGACTCAATTATTTTTTCCTCCTCTCAGCCAGTCCCTTCCCAGTTACATCCGCAACTCTTCTAATGCTTTACACATCAGTTTCAAAATTTCCAGCCTGAGCACCAGCCGTCTCCTTTTCAAATGTATGTCGAATTCCTCGAGACATCCATTCCCCATCAGAGTACTCCTGCAGTTTTCCACTTCTTCCTGGATAGGCAGCCTGAGCCATCCCCAGCCACCACCACCAGCCTCTACCTGGCTGAGTTGTCCTCACTTAAAACAATTTCTTCTTTAACTCCTCTCTGTTTCATCAGATCAAAGATGTTGCTATCGGTACCCACATGACAGTTATGTCAGTCTCTGTGAGGTATTTGGAACATTCCTTGTTCCAGTCCTACTTGGGTTCTGCCCCACAACTTTTTCTCCTGTACATCAATGACATCATTGGTGCCACTTTCTCTTCTGATCTGGAATTGGAAAAATTATCAGTTATTCTTCCAATTTTCACCCTGCTCTCAATTTCATCTGGTCCATTTCTGGCATCTCCCTTACCTTCCTGAACATCTCTGTTACCATTTCCAGGAATAAACAGGCCACTGATACCCATTGCAAACCCACCAACTCCCACAGTTCTCTGAACTATATATCCTCACACCCTGCTTCCTGTAAGGACTCCTTTCCATTCTCCTAGTTTCTGCATTTCTATCAGATCTGTTCGGCTGATGCCACCTTCTGCAGAAGCACCTCAGAAATATCCGCCCTTTTCCTCAACAAGGATTCCCCACTACCATGGTTGACAGGGCCCTTAGCCATGTCTGACCCATTTCCTGCACTTCTGTCCTCACTAATTCTTCTCCCTTCCACAACACCAGTATGGAGCCTGGGCCCTCACTTTCTACCCCACCAGCCTCCGCATTCAAGGCAGCCTATTGTTCAGTTACTATTCTACTTCCCACCCTTTAATTCCAATTTATCGGGGCTAGATTGTTGTTACCTAATTGAAATTGGCTTTCCCCCAATTGGTAATTCTTACTTTGATTGTCTTTTTAGTCTTTTCCATAGCCAACCAAAACATAGAAAATAGGAGCATTTCAATCCTGCAAGCTGCTTCGCCATTCAGTATGATCATGGCTAATAATCCAATTTGGTGCTGCTCTTCCCACTTTCTCAACCATACTCTTTCCCAACATACACATTTCCCTTTAGCCCTAAGAACTATATTGAAATCCCTTGTGAAGATATTCAATGTTTTGGCCTCAATCATTTACTGTGGCAGATAATACCACGTGCTCAACACTCTGTCTGGGTGAAGCACTTTCTCTTCTACTCAGTCCTAAAAGGCCTACCCCATATCCTTGATAGAGATAACAAGGTGCAGAGCTGGATGAACACAGCAGGCCAAGCAGCATCAGGGGAGCAGGAAAGCTGACGTTTCAGGCCGAGACCCTTCTTCAGAAATGGGGGAAGGGCAGGGGGTTCTGAAATAAATAGGGAGAGAGGGGGAGGCGGATAGAGGAGAAGATAGGTGGAGAGGAGACAGACAGGTCAAAGGGGCGGGGATGGAGCCAGTAAAGGTGAGTGTAGGTGGGGAGTTAGGGAGGCGATAGGTCAGTCCAGGGAGGATGGACAGGTCAAGGGGGCGGGATGAGGCTAGTAGGTAGGAGATGGGGGTGGGGCTTGAGGTGGGAGGAGGGGATAGGTGGGAGGAAGAACAGGTTAGGGAGGCGGGGACAAGCTGGACTGGTTTCAGGATGCGGTTGGGGGAGGGGAGATTTTGAAGCTTATGAAGTCTACATTGATACCATTGGGCTGCGGGGTTCCCAAGTGAAATATGAGGTGCTGTTCCTGCAACCTTCGGGTGGCATCGTTGTGGCACTGCAGGAGGCCCAGGATGGACATGTCGTCTAAGGAATGGGAGGGGGAGTTGAAATGGTTTGTGACTAGGAGGTGCAGTTGTTTAGTGCAAACCGAGCGTAGGTGTTCCGCAAAGCGGTCCCCAATTCTCCGCTTGATTTCCCCGATGTAGAGGAGGCCATACCGGGAGCAGCGGATACAGTATACCACATTAGCAGATGTGCAGGTGAACATCTGCTTAATGTGGAAGGTCTTCTTGGGGCCTGGGATGGGGGTGAGGGGGGAGGTGTAGGGGCAGGTGTAGCACTTCCTGCGGTTGCAGGGAAAAGTGGTGGGGCTGGAGGGGAATGTGGAGCGGACAAGGGAGTCACGGAGAGAGTGGTCCCTCCAGAAAGCAGATAAAGGTGGGGAGGGAAAAATGTATTTGGTGTTGGGGTCAGATTGCAGATGGTGGAAGTGTCGGAGGATGATGCGTTGGATCCGGAGGTTGGTGGGGTGGTACGTGAGGATGAGAGGGATTCTGTTTTGGTTGTTATTGCGGAGAGGGGGTGTGAGGGATGAGTTGCAGGAAATGCGGGAGACACGGTCGAGGGCGTTCTCGACCACTGCGGGGGGGGGGGGTGTCGCGGTCCTTGAAAAACAAGGACATCTGAGATGTATGGGAGTGGAATGTCTCATCCTGGGAGCAGATGCGGTGGAGGCAAAGGAATTGGGAACAGGGGATGGCATTTTTGCAGGAAGGTGGGTGGGAGGAGGTGTATTCTAGGTAGCTGTGGGAGTCGGGCTTGAAATGGATATCGGTTTCTAGGTGGTTGCCAGAGATGGAAACACAGAGGTCCAGGAAGGACAGAGCGGTATCAGAGATGGTCCAGGTGAACTTAAGGTTGGGGTGGAAGGTGTTGGTGAAGTGGATGATCTGTTCGAGCTCCTCGTGGGAGCACGAGGCGGCGCCGATACAGTCATCGATGAAACGGAGGAAGAGGTGGGGTTTAGGGCCAGTGTAGCTACGAAAGAGAGATTGTTCCACATAACCTACAAAGAGGCAGGCATAGCTTGGGCCCATGCGGGTACCCATAGCCACCCCCTTTGTCTGTAGGAAGTGGGAGGAATTGAAAGAGAAGTTGTTAAGGGTGAAGACGAGTTGGGCTAAGCGGATGAGGGTGTCAGTGGAGGGGGACTGGTCAGGCCTGTGGGACAGGAAGAAGCAGGGAGGGCCTTTAGGCCGTCTGCATGGGGAATGCAGGTGTATAGGGACTGGACGCCCATGGTAAAGATGAGGTGTCGGGGACCAGGGAATTGGAAGTTTTGGAGGAGGAGGAGGGCGTGGGTGGTGTCACGGACGTAGGTAGGGAGTTCCTGGACCAAGGGGGAGAAAATGGAGTCGAGCGCAGGAAGCGCTACACCTCCCCCCTCACCCCCATCCCAGGCCCCAAGAAGACCTTCCACATCAAGCAGATATTCACCTGCACATCTGCTAATGTGGTATACTGTATCCGCTGTTCCCGTCATGGCCTCCTCTACATCGGGGAAACCAAGCGGAGGCTTGGGGACCGCTTTGCGGAACACCTACGCTCGGTTCGCACTAAAAAAACTGCACCTCCCAGTCGTAAACCATTTCAACTCCCCCTCCCATTCCTTAGACGACATGTCCATCCTGGGCCTCCTGCAGTGCCACAACGATGCCACCCGAAGGTTGCAGGAACAGCACCTCATATTTCGCTTGGGAACCCTGCAGCCCAATGGTATCAATGTAGACTTCATAAGCTTCAAAATCTCCCCTCCCCCAACCGCATCCCGAAACCAGCCCAGCTTGTCCCCGCCTCCCTAACCTGTCCTTCCTCCCACCTATCCCCTCCTCCCACCTCATGCCCCACCCCCATCTCCTACCTATTAGGCTCATCCCGCCCCCTTGACCTGTCCATCCTCCCTGGACTGACCTATCGCCTCCCTAACTCCCCACCTGCACTCACCTTTACTGGCTCCATCCCCGCCTCTTTGACCTGTCTGTCTCCTCTCCACCTATCTTCTCCTCTATCCATCTTCTATCCGCCTCCCCCTCTCTCCCTATTTATTTCAGAATCCCCTTCCCCTCCCCCATTTCTGAAGAAGGGTCTCGGCCCGAAACGTCAGCTTTCCTGCTCCTCTGATGCTGCTTGGCCTGCTGTGTTCATCCAGCTCTACACCTTGTTATCTCAGATTCTCCAGCATCTGCAGTTCCTACTACCTCTACCCTATATCCGTAGTCTGTGACTCGTGGCTTTAGACTTCCTAGTCTTTGGAGCATCCTTTGCATTTACCCTGTGTAGTCTGATGAGATATCTACACCCTCCCCGCTCGACATGCACACCACCACTACCACCACTTCTAAATTCCAGTGGATATAGTCCTAACTGATACTGTCTCCATTTGTGAATCCTGCCATCCCGGTAATCAGTTTGGTAAACCTTCATTACACTCCCTCCAAAGCCAGAACATCTTTGCTCAGATAAGAAGAGCAAAATTGCACACAATACTCCAGATGTGGTTTTTACCAAGGCCCTGTAAACCTGCAGCAAGAATCCCTACTCAGATAATCAATTCTTCTTAGTATGAGGATCAGCATACCACTTGCCGCCTTTATTGCCTGCGGCACCTATGTACTTACACTCAGTAACTGGTGTACAAACACACTCCAGTCTCCTTGTACCTTTCCTTTTTTTCTCATCTATGACCGTTCAGATAATAATCTGCCATCTTGTTTTTGCTACCAGATGTGAATAACCTCACATTTATCTACGTTGTACTTCATCTGCCACTCATTTGCCCACTCACTGAACTTGTCCAAATCACACCTAAAGCATCTGGTTTCCCTTCCACAGTTCACCCTCCTACCCAGCTTTGTGCCGTCTACAAACTTGGAGGTGTTACATATAGTTTCCTCATGTAAATCATTAACATATATTTTGAATAGCTGGGGGCCAAGCATTGTTCCCTGTGGTACTCTACTAGTCACTGACTACCACTAAGATAAAGATCCTATTTATTCCTACTCTTTGTTTCTTGTTTGCCAACCAGTTCTGTATCCATGTCAGTGCACTAGGCTCAATTCCTATACTTTAATTTCTTGAGAAAGCTAAAGGGCATAGGTTTAAGCTGAAAAGGGAGAGATTTAAAAGAGACCTGACAGGCAGTTTTTTTCACAGAGAGTGGTGCGTGTACGGAACGAACTGCCAGAAGTTGTAGAAGCAGGTATAATTGCAAAATATAAAAGACATTTGGATAGGTACATGAACAGCAAAGGTTTAGAGGGATATGGGACAAATGCTGGCAAGTGGGACTGGTTAAGTTTAGGAAACCTGGTTGGCATGGATAGTTGGGCTATCCATGCTATATGACTGTAAGCTGCCACTTCTGTCACCTCCAGTGGGATACAACCACCAGACACACCTATCCCTCCATTGTCGGCGTTGTGCAAGGACTTTTCCCTCTGGGACAATCCTGGCTCACTCCCCCTCCACTCCCAACACCTGCCAATGCCCTCATGACATCTTCCAACGCAACACAGTAGCTGCAAAGCTTGCCCAGTTACCTCCTCATTATCCAAGGGTCTAGACACACCTTCCAGGTGAAGCAATGAGGTCCTCTCAACACTGGAGAGACGACCAGGTGACAGCTATGTAGAAACCTATGTTCTGTCTGTAAAAATCACCCTGAGCTTCCAGTTGCCTGCCATTTCCAGCACACCATAGTATTCTCACACCAATATTTATCTCAGGCCTGCAGCAGTGCTCCAGCGACTTGATGCAAGCTGGAAGAACAACGTCTAATGTTTAGCTCAGGAACATTACAGCCTCGGGGCTCATCAAGTTGAATAATTTTAGAGCATGAATGCCTCCTGCTATGTCATTTGCCCACCACCATGATCACTTATTTAGCTTCTCACCTCCCATGATTTATTGTCAATGACTGTTTGTCTGCCTAACCTTTTCTTCTCCCTACCTGGGCTCTGTCACCGTCTATCTGCTTAGTCCTTTTTCCACCTCAACTCCCATCATCTGCATAAAACACCTTTTCCTAGCTGCTATCGGTTCTAAAGAAGGGTAATTAGACTTGAAAAGTTACATTCTTTTGACTCTGAGTTTCTCCAGCAATTTCTGTTTCTGTGTGTTTCACGTCCCTAGTATTCACAATTCTTTGCTTTGTCTTTCACTAATTGCCCACCTTGTTAACTTGGTTCTTACTGCAGTGTTAATAAACCTTGTATAACCACTGCTTTCTCTAACAAGTTTTCACTCAATAAAGTTTCCTCTGTACTTCTGCCTCTCTCCTCAGAAATAACTTTGATGTTTATCATTGTCAAAAATCTCTTAAGCCTCCAATTTTCTGATTATATTGCCTTTCCCCTTACATCTTGCCTCATTGTACAGTCACTGTTCATTTCAGTCAATCACTCCTTTTCTGCCACCATGTTCAGCTTTGAACTTCAACAGTCCTCTGTTTTTCACATCTCATTAATTGCATCAAACATCAGCCTCACATCATCTATGGAGGACTATTTTTTTGCAAAGATAGAATTACACAGTCGCGACCACAGTTTAGGAACAGGCCACTTGTCCCATTAGATTTCTGCTGATGTTTATGTCCCACATCAGAATACCTAGTTTCCCTCTTTTATAAAACAAAGTGATTTTTATCCTTTTATCATAGATTTGATGGTTGTCTTAAGCACACCAGCTTTTCTGTTCCTTTAAAAACTTGAATAAGAATGCACTGTTGACAAAAATATTTTGCTGTCTCCACTTTTTTACTGCATATGCAGACTGGAAATCACACCTTAGCTTCTGTCTCTGGCATAAGTATTCAGATATGATTAGAAGGGTTTGCTGAAATTCTTTCTCCATACTAATTAGATAAATAAAAGTTAATTCAAAATCATGATTCCAAATTCCTCAATTGTCAAAATATCTTGGTAATTTTTTATTTGAGTAGATAAAGAACATTGTTTCACACAGGCATACATAATTTTGCACACTTTTAACTCACTATTCTGCAAGTTTTGCTTCTCCAAATGTATCTGAAAAGGTCTTACCATTCATGTGCTAAATTGTAAAAACAAAAATGTTTACTACATATTTACCAGTTGTGTTTAGTAAACTGGGCTTTTTGAAATGTAACATGAAGTGCATATGCTTCTGCATGTTGAAAATATATCCACTTTTATTGCCTGTGGTTTTGGCAGGGATAGTTTTATTTTATCTGCATGCACCCAAGGGCTTCGAAAACCTTTTATAGAAACTGGAACATTTTACCACCAGTGGAAACCCCAAAGTGTTAAAAGCAAGGTTTGTGTTTTTGATCATATATGTGGTAAAATATACTCATGCTGGGACAATGCAAAGGAAGGAGGCAGGAAATTTGGTAAGAGGGTTAGCAAACCAGCTTCTTGAGATGCATGATAAAGGGAATTTCCATGGAGTTCACCTTTATTTTATTTAAATAGTGCAAGGTGCTTCATGACTTAAAAGCTATTTTTAAACATCTACAAAGATACAGGATGAATTGAAAGAAAACTACACTGTGAGAAGAGGAATGCAATGACATTATAAGGTATGTAAAGGATGTGAATAAAGTTACTTAATTTTTTGTGTTTCAGGGAGGCTTATGGTGTTTTGGGGGGAATGGGCTTCCTTATGCACAGAGCCTAAGCTCTGTTCCATCTGAGAAGGTTGAATCATTTTGTCTTCAAGCACTAGCCAAACATTCTAAGGTAAAGTTCTGTTATTTTCCCTGAAGGCTCTGAATAAAATTATTCTGTCTTTTCGTTAAAGAGATAAAACTAAGCATTTTAACGTGTTATAATCTATTGTCAAGAAACGTGGGTGGCACGGTGGCGCGGTGGTTAACACTGCTGCCTCAGTGCCAGGGACCTTGGTTCGATTCCAACCTAGGGCGACTGTCTGTGTGGAGTTTGCACATTCTCCCCGTGTCTGCATCGGTTTCCCCCAGGTGCTATAGCTTCCTCCCACAGTCCAAAGGTGTGCAGGTTAGTTGGATTCGCCATGCTAAGTTGCCCATAGTGTTCAGAGATGTGTAAGTTAGGTGCATTAGCCATGGGAACTGCAGGGTTACAGGGATAGTTTAGGGGATGGTTCTGGGTGGGTTGCTCTTCAGAGGGTCAGTGTGGACTTGTTGAGCTGAATGACTTGTTTGCACACTGTCGGGATTCTATGATTTACTAAATTAGATTGGAAGAACAACAAAAGCTATCTAGCTACACAATTTGTTCAATCATTCAAATCTATTTAGAGAGTTTGAATTAATTTTATATTTTCTAATCAACCTCCTCAGATGTTATTACACACCTCTGGAGCAGGTGAGACTTGAACCTTGGCCTCTTAGCAGAGAGGTAGGATCATTACCAGTGCACCACAAGAGCCCCTTCTAGATCAATTTTATCCTCACACTGACAGTATATGTTCAACAAAAGCACTGAGCTTCATTTAAGTAGCTGCTGTTGGTCCATAGCCTACTGTGCCCTAGCATTTTAAGCGCTCATACAGATGATTCTTAAAGGTTGCATGAGGACCTGCCTCCACTGCCCCCTCAGGCAGTGCTTTCCACATATATACCAGCTTCTGGGTGAAAATATTTTTCCTCAGGTGTCCTCTAAACTACTTACTTCTCACGTTAAACTTGTGCCCTCTGGTCTTTGACACGTCTGCTATGGGGAAACGATTCTCATGATCTAATTTGTCTATGCCCCTCGTTATTTTGTATACCTCTATCAGATACTCTTTCAGCCTCCTCTGCTCCAAGGAAAACAAACCCAGCCTATCTAGTCTCACTTTATAACTGAGATTTTTTGCCCCAGGCAACATTCTGGTGAATCTCCTATGTACTCTCACAAGCGCAATTGCGTCCTTCCAATGGTGTGGTGACCAGAACTGCTTACGAGATTCCATCTGTGGCCTAACCACAGCTTTAAAAGTTATAACAAGACTTCCTTGCTTCTATATTCTATACCATGGCTAATGAAGGCAGGCATTCCATATGCCTACTTCACAGACCTGTGCTGACACCGTCAGGGATCTATGGACTTGTACACCAAGGTCCCTTTGTTCCTCAGTACTGCCTAGGGACCTGCCATTAATTGTGTATATCCTTCCCTTATTAGACTTCCCAAATGCATCACCTCGTATTTATTAGGATTAAATTCCACCTGCCGTTATTTTGCCCAATTTACCAGTACCGAATGGGATCATGCTTCTTGTGTTATTGGAGCTGCACTCATTCAGGCGCGTGAGAGTATTACACCATGCTCCTGACTTGTCCTTGTAGATGGTGGACAGCCTTTGGGGAGTCAGGTGAATTACTGGCTGCAGTATTCCTAGCCTATAATGATTCCAGCTGAGTTTCTGGTCAATGATGAGCCTTAGGATTTAATTCATTGAAGGTGAAGGGGCAGTGGATTATTTCTTATTGGAGATGCTGTGGAGCTGAATGGCCCTGGTAGAATCCAAACTGAGCATCAGGGAGCAGGTTTTTGTGAAGCATACGCTGCTTGATGGCGCTGTTGATGACAAACTCCATCACTGTGTCATCGCTTGGCAGGCCTACTCACTATGGTGTATGAACTGCCACTTATGATGAAGATTGCTTACACCATCTTCTTTAAGTGTAAGAAAGCACAGGGACAGCTTGACACGGAGTGATAGAGAGAAAACATATCCTGGTTTAATTAGAAGAATCTCTTGTCATTAACAAGATATAGATTATTACATATTAACAAATGATGAATCAATACAATCGACATTGTTACAGAGATGTTGAGGAGTTAGACCTCGGACCTTCAAGATCATAAATTGTTCTGCTCACAAGTCCATATTACATTATTCTGGTGGATAGTGATTTTGGCATTCCTCAGTATTAACCCTTTCAGATCCTATATCATCTGTCAGGACCTTCACAGGGCCCCAGTGTGCATTCTGAAAATCTGAAGGTCATAATATTTAACCCATTTTCTTTGTGCTTTCTCAACAGAACTGTAAGGTTCATTGTTCTGTTCTTTCAGCTTTGTAATATTTAAGTGGCATCTGTTTCTCCTCTGTTATTTTAAAATAATCTCGTATGTAGATTTGTGCTAGTAGCAGTGCCCTATTTTAAATTGGTAGCTGAAATTTTCATGGGAGAATCATAGAATCCCTACAGACCATTCAACCCATCGAGTCCACACTTATCTTCTGAAGAGCATCCCATGCACACCCACCCTGTAACCCTGCATTTCCCATGGCTAATCCTCCTAACCTACACATCCCTGGACACTGTGGACAATTTAGCATAGCCAATCCACCTAACCTGTACATCTTTGGACTATCAGAGGAAACCAGAGCACCCAGAGGAAACCCATGCAGACATGGGGAGAATGTGCAAACTTTGCGCAGTCACCTGAGGCTGGAATTGAACCTGCGTCCCTGGTGCTGTGAGGTAGCAGTGCTAATCACCGAGCTACCGTGCTTCCCCAAAAAAGGATGTTGCAGCATTGGAAGAACATTGTAGGACAGGAATGGTACTGACTGGTGCTTTTGTTTGGACCTATTGTTGACTGGGGAATTGTTGCACAAAATACAACTCTAATTCATAGTTTAGTTTGAAAAGGCAGATCTTTTCTGTGTAATGTTGCATCATTTTGCTGTGTAATGCTGCCTGTACTGTATTCGTACAAGTTTCTTTAATCTCAAATGACTCACTTTGAATTTGCACTAATATCAGGTTCCAAGCCACTGTGACAAGATTGTAATGAATGGAGGTCTGCAGTTGCTTCAGAAAATATATCAGCTGCGTCAAGATTCTCCAAAAATTCAAAGAAATATCATTCGAACAATTGGAAATTTGGCTTTACATGAACATCTTCACTCAGCTGTGGCACAGTCAGGTACAGTGAAACTATTCTATGTCAGGTTTCCTAATTATTTTGAAAAGAATTAAGATTAATTTATTATTTTATGCATTTCACATAGTTGTGATAAAGATTCACCCTTTATTTTATTATAGCTGTTTTTATTCAGTTTTCTCTATTTGTTGTATTTAGGTTACTTTTTATCCATTGACTTCAACATATTGTGCAGTTATCCATATTGCTAAATGTATTTTTCTTACTCATATTACAAGCTGTGTAATCTGTAATCTAAGGCTCAGAATTCTTGAATTGTAGGATGGATCGGTGTACTTGCTGAAGGAATGAAATCACCACATGTTATTCAGGCTTCACATGCGGCCAGAGCTTTAGCTAATTTTGACAGGGACACCGTGAAAGAAAAGTATGAGGATGGAGTATATATTCTTCATCCTCAGTATAGAACCAGGTAAATGTAAATTGAATTTTTTTTGTTCTTTCAAAACAATTAACCTTTGGCAAGTTAGATTAGGGAGGCTACTTAAGAATTTCACCTTTTAAGACCACAGTACCTGACATTCTGCATCCAGTTGTGTAGTTCATTACTTTATAAGCCTGGGGCAGCACGGTGGCACAGTGGTTAATACTGCTGCCTCACAGCGCTAGGGACCTGGGTTCAATTCCACCCTCGGGCGACTGTGGAGTTTGCACATTCTCCCTGTGTCTGCGTGGGTTTCCTCCAGGTACTCCGGTTTCCTCCCACATTCCAAAGATGTGCAGGCTTGGTGGATTGGCCATGCTAAATTGCCTGCAGTGTTCAGAGATGTGTAGATTAGGTGGGTTATAGGGGGATGGGTCTGAGTGGGACGCTGTGAGAGTCGGTGTGGACTAGTTGGGCTGAAGGGCCTGTTTCCACACTGTAGGATTCTATGATTTATAATTTAATTCATTTTATAAATTTTCTGATATGCATTCCCTTTGCATGCAGCTTAGCTGTTATTATACGGGATGAGTGAATGAATTTATCCTTTTCAATAGGGCGCTTCTACCTTGTACCATTAGCACAGTGAAATGTTGTAAGGAGATTCATGAGAGTTAATTGACACACGTATTTGAGGCCCCAACATTTATCCCTGCAGTATTCCATTATTTGCAGGTTTCCTTGCTGAAAATGACCAATTTTTCCCAACCGTTTTCTCTGAATTAGCTAATCCTGCATTAATGCGAATATATTATCCCTAAAATCACAACAAAGATGATGACATAGTGGTATACACTCAGTTGCCTGGGAGTCCTCACATTGATTTTGAACCCCAAGAGCATCAGTTTAATGTGGGCAAGGAAGCCTCCTGCTGGTTACCATGTACTATCCTCCCTCAGCTATGAATCAGTATTCTTCCATGTTGAAAAACACTTGGAGGAAGCGCTGAGTGTGGCAAGGGTGCAGAATATACCCTGGGTGGAAGATTTCAGTGTCCACCTCCCAAGTGTAGTTCGGCGGCAGTGTTACCAATTGAGCTGCTCAGATCCTAAAGGACATAGCTGCAAGTTTGGGACTGCAGCTGGTGGTGAAGAAATCAACAAGATGGAAAAACATACTTGACCTCACCTTCTTGAATCTACTTACCGCAGATGCATCTGTCCATGACAGTACTGGAAAGAGTGACCACATCACAACCCTTGTGGAGATGAAGTCCTGCCTTCAAACTGAGAATACTCAAGACTGGGCATCCATGAAGTGCTGTGAGCTGTCAACATCTGCAGAATCATACTTGAACACAATCTGCGAGCTCCCAGCCTGGCATATTCCCAACTCAACCGTTACCATCAAGCCTGGGGATTACCCCGGGTTCAATGGAACGAGTAGGAGGGCATGCCAGGAGCACCATCATTCCTAAAAATGATATGTCAGACTGGTGAAGATACCAAACAGGACTACTTGCATGCCAAACAGCATAAACAACAAGTGATAGACAGTTGGCGGCACGGTGGCTCAGTGGTTAGCACTGCTACATCATAGCGTGAGGAACTCTGGTTTGATTCCAGCGGTGACTGTCTGTGTGGAGTTTGCACATTCTCCCCGTGTCTGCATGGGCTTCCTCCAGGTGCTCTGGTTTCCTTTCACAGTCCAAAGATGTGCAGGCTAGGTGGATTGGCCATGTTAAATTGCCAGTAGTATTCGGGGAGTGTAGATTAGGTGGGTTGTAGGAGGATGGATCTGGGTGAGATGCTCTGAGTGTCGATGTGGACTTATTGGGCTGAAGGGCCTGTTTCCACACTGTAGGGATTCTGTGGTCATCTATCGTCGTACAACCAACGGATAATATGTAAGTTTTGCAGTCCTGCCATATCCAGTTGTGAATAGTGGTGGACAATTCACTGAAGGAGGAGGCTCCACAAATATCCCCATTCTCTGTAGCTTTGAAGGGCCTCCCTGTTTTTAATGTGCCGTATCTAACATATGCTTTCTTAGTTCCCTTTCTTAGACATTCGGAGTTCCCTGTACTTCCTGTCCTTGACCGTCACTCTTAGAGGAATATACTGAGCCTGAATTCTGACTATGCTAATTTTGCAAGACTCTCACTTTTCAGATGTAGACTTGCCTGCTTTTACCTGCTCCCATCTGTTTGCCAGATATCCAGTGAAAGTGAGATCAGCCTTCCCCCCCAGTTTAGACACTCACCTTCTGCCATATCCTTATCTATTTCTATAATGACTGTGAAATTTTGAGTTATGGTCACTATCCCCAAAATGCTTGCCTGCTGAAAATTTAACCACTTGACCTGCTTCATTCCCCACGATTAGGTCTAGCACTGCCTCATCTCTTGTTGGACTGTCTACGTACTGGCAGAAAAACCTCTCCAGGATGAATTTCAGAAATTCCACCCTATCTAATCCTTTCACACTAAGGCAATTCCAATTAATGTTAGCAAAGTTCAAGTCCGCTCCAACTGAAACCCTGTTTTCCTCACACTTTTCTGTGATTTGCCTGCACATCTGCTCCCCTATCTCCTTCTGACTGTTGGGAGACCTGTAGTACAATCCCAGCAAGGTAATCACCCCTTTTTTATTTCTGACCTCTACCCAGATGGCCTCATTTGATGATCCATCTATGACATCCTTCGTCATTACTGCAGTGATGATTTCCTTTACTAACAACAGAATGCCCCACCTCTCTTACTTTTATACCCTGGAATGTTGAGCTGCCAGTTCTATCCTTCCTTCTATCACGTCTCAGTGTTTGTAATGATATTATATTCCCATGTGTTCTTCAATGCTGTAAGTTCATCCGCCTTCTTAGTCAAGATTAAAAGTGCAGTGTGCACTTGCCGTATGGACTATCTGCAAGATGCACTGCAGAAATTCATCCAAGATCCTAAGACAGCACCATCCAAACCACTTCCATCTGGAAGGACAACATCAGTCAATCATGGGAACACTACCACCTGCAAATTTACTTCCAAGCCATTCATAGTCCTGATTTTGAAATATATTACCACTCCTCCTCTGTTGCTGGATCAAAGTCCTGGAATTCTCTCACTAACAGCACTGTGGGTCTACATGGACTGCAGCTCACCTCCACTTTCTGGGACAGACAATAAATACTGCCAGTCAGCGACGCCCATGTCCTGTGAGTGAATAAAATAGCTCTTATTTTGTGCAGTTAGCATGTAGGTTGCACCTCATTAATTCCTTTTCAATATCCACAACAGCTACCTGGTTCTCTCTTATCCACCTTGTTTTTATGTTCTCAAAGAACTCTCAAGAATTTGTTGAACTTGACTTCCCTTATGCACAGCCATGTTGAATCTGCACAATTGTAACATGAATTTCTAAATATCCTGTTGCTTCTTTTTTAAGAATAAATTCTAGCATTTTCCCAGTGACAAATATTCAGCTAACTAGCTTCTCTCTGTTTTCTTGAATTGAAGTGTTACATTAGTGATATTCCAATCTGGTGGGATCTTACCAAAATCTAGTGAAATTTCAAAGTTTACAGACAGGGAGTCTACTATCTCTGCAACCACTTCTCATAAGAGTCTAAGGTGCAAAACACTAGGTCCAGTGGAATTTTTAGTTCTTAGTTCTAGTATTGCTGGTAAAGAGACATGCTGTCAAAGGTTTTCACTTTGTAATCACCAAAATCTCAAAGGACACAAGAATTTGTTTTGCATGAGAAGAGGATATTAACTGGTTCAGAGGTAGACTCTGGTAGGGATATTGCCATGGTGAATCCTCCAGCGAATAAGCAGCTGCCAAGAGTTTGTTTAAATTCAAACCGACAAGTCAACTTTGATCAAGGTATTGCTATGAGGAATGCACAGGAAAGCTGATCCCCAAGTTTTTATTCAGTTGAAGAGGTGCATTGTGTGGTCATATTCTTTCCATTTGTAAATGCAGGAATCTGTGAACGCATGTGTAAGTAAGCCACACTTTGAGCTTAGAATAATAGAATCATAGATATTTTAATAATAAACATAATTTATAATAATTAATTTATTATAATAAGCAATAATAATCTTCCTGATGGTCAATAACTCAGAGCACATTTAGCAAATGTTGTTCAGTTGTAGAATCACGTCTAATATTGGACACTGTGTTCTGAATTTTGCAAGCATGGATTGATTGGGCACATTCACTACTTTGCCTATTACAAACAATCAAAGGGATATGCTGTTTGATATGATCTGCCAGTCATTGGAATGTATGACCAGCATATCTGGTATCACAGTACTGAAGTTCATACACTGCATTATTGATTTAAGTGATTGGCAGACTGCATAGTAGCAGGATGAAATTGCTAGCTTCACTTGTTGCTACCATCTAGTTCAGATTCATTTCCATCCTGAAATGTCCTTAAGCCTGAACAGGCAACATAACTGTCAGAGCCACCAGCTGTGCCTGTAGCAAACAGGATTTTATCTCTCTAAGTATACTCGCCCTTGTCACATTCTTTTGGTTTCCCCACATGATCAGGATCTGCACCATGTGACCATTGTCACGTTTACTCATCCACACTGCAGTCTTATCTAGACAGCTAGCAAGCACCACATATCTATCAGTCAAATTCAAGAGATGAATCTCCTTCATAAGATTCTGCCTCGCTTGCAGTCAGTTTAATCAGTTGTACACTTCTGCTTAACCTAATGTGTGCGATTGGCTCCAGGAACAATGAGCCCCAGTAGCCCTTCGTCTCCCTGATATACCCTCATTACTTCCAACTGAGATTCTAGACCTAGCAACTCTGAGCCAAATTTTCTCAAGCTACAGACACTGTAGATGTAGGTCACAGGACTGTAATGCATTCCACGGAATTCTACATGCTGCAGTCAAGGAACACAACCTTGTCTGTCCAGTCTTATTTAGTTATTTAGTCAGTCAATTAGTTATTAGTTTAGTTAGTTAAAGGAAGAGTAAGTTATGGTCACCAAGCTTGCAGACAAAAAAAGCACTCACTAGCTACTTCAG